AAACGATCTCTCGAGTTTTATAAAATGATCTCTCGAGTTCTATAAAACGATCTTCTAGTTTTATAAAACGATCTCTCGAGTTTTATAAAATGATCTCTCGAGTTTTATAAAACGATCTCTCGAGTTTTATAAAACGATCTTCGAGTTTTATAAAATGATTCTCGAGTTTTATAAAACGATTCTCGAGTTTTATAAAACGTTTTCTCTCGAGTTTTATAAAACGATTCTTGAGTTTTATAAAACGATTCTCGAGTTTTATAAAACGATTCTCGAGCTTTATAAAACGATTCTCGAGCTTTATAAAACGATTTCTCGAGTTTTATAAAACGATTTCTCGTGTTTTATAAAACTGTTCATTTTGTATTCTTGCGGAAAGTTTTGGCTATTAATTCCGTCGTACCGATTTTGACCCCAACAGTTAGTATAATTAAAAGAATTCTTCCCCATATTTATATAAAAACAGAATACACATAAGAAAGATCCCATTGACCAAACACACCAAGTTGCAATCATGAGTTCATACCACCATGGAAGATCCCGCATTTGAAGCCATGATAAACCAGATAACCACTCCAAACATAATACCGAGACCATATAAAGACCAAAATCCGATCATATTATTCAAAAAACAGAAAACCAAAACCGAAGGCTCATAACAACCAACAACAAACCATGAGACCCATACAGCCCCAACAATAAAGCAAAGGAAATCTTTAAAAGCCTGGACTTTATAACACAATCCATTATTACTTAAAATGAAAAGGGAAATAGTATATAAAAAAAATGGCTTGGACGTCCTCATTAAGCGCCCCCATCCTTGGGTTTATTTGGACCCTTCTTACCATCCCCATTCCCTTTATCAATTGGCTTGGCAGGAACCTTGGAGATCTTATTCTTCCTTGGTGAGAGAATGCTCTGGACAATAAGCCTTTTTGTGTCTCCAACAAAAGCTCCAGCCTTCAAACCTTTCCTTTTTGAAACTTTTGTACATGTCTCGTCTGTACCAGCAACCTCCGTAGCAGTTGTGGACTCGGTAGTCTCCTCAAGAGTTCCATCAGTACCTACATTTTCCATATCCTCCAAGAAAGCCGATACCTCTCCTTCCTCCCATTCCTCATCCAAAAGCTATGAGTCTGATAAAAGCACTCCATCCACCATTAAGTTAGCCTCATCCAGTGCAGAAGGAGCGTCATGATCCATCAGTTCTTCCTTTCTACCCGTCCCCAAGCTCTCCTTAATCTCAACCAAAGGCATCTCTATACTCATAAGGTGAACAAAAATGTAGGGATTTGCGAGCTGTTGGTTTGCTCCCTGGCTCCATCAACTTACCAAGACTCTCCTGCATCTCTTTTGGGGCCTGGTTTGTTCCTTCAAAAGCATCCATCAAAAGCTTCTGAGGGTGGTTTAGAATTTGTCCCTCCTCTCCATTTCGAACATTCTCAAGACCTCTAGGATTTATAGCCACACGGCCATTTTCCTCTGCCATAGCTCCATTACCAAACCGTCGACCACGCGAGGATCCTTCTCCATAGCTTTGTGGAAACCTTTCTTTGTATGCACGGTAGGCTCCATCTTGTCTGAAAGACCCTGACTTGTCCTTCGCAATACCTTTGCCTTTATAGGATTCCTTTGTTCCCCGGGCATTACCTTGATAACCCTCTCTCTGGATTGGGCCATAGTCTTCCCCATTTGCCACCACTGCTTTGTAGCTTGTTACTAGTGAGCCCCTGTCTCTCTGATCAGGTCCAGACTCTTTTCCAGCCCCTTCTTCCACAGGCAAAGCTAAATTCGGGCATCTGGAATGATCATGTGTCATACGACAACATTCATGACAGAACCCAAACAAATGTTCATACCTCAGATTCACAACCAGCTCGACACCCTCATTAAAATCAATCTCCATGGAGAACACGAGGTTAGAAACAATCAAGTTCTACTAGAACTCTTCCCTCCACCAAATCAACATTGCCCTGGACTAGGCCAATAGCTTTTCCAACACCGTGAAAAGTAGACGCAGCCCAATATTGGAGAGACACATCAAGGACACGGACCTAGAAGGTAATTCTTGATGGGTAGTTAACATCAAGAACCGGCTTCCAACGAACCAAAGACAAAATCCAGTGATCAAAATGAAACGGCTCCATTCTCATCACCTCAATGATATCCTCCTCCCTTTCAAACTGAAACTGAAACCTTCCAAGCCCCAGGTCCGTTCCGGTGACCCGTCCCTCCACTTGCCAAATTCTAGGAAGCATGAAAAGAAGCGTTTTCATTTCTTGCTTAGGTTGATTCATACATCTTCCAATCACTGTCTTGGCATACCGAGCTATGATCTCTGAATTATCAAACCGAGGAACCCAAATCTTCAATATTGGTTTAGCAGCCTCCACCCTCTTCCCTCCACCTGAGCCATTGAAACCAGAGAAAAAAAAAGAAAAAGATCACAGTTAACACTTTGCACCGTAAGAGAACTAAAGAGAATGAAAATTATTGATGATTCCTGCCACTGAATATGGATCCATATATATACCGAACTGATTGCGATCTCAAAAATCTCAGACATTAAGACCCCAAGATACCAACAATCGGGAGAGATACTACAGTAATGGTGAAAATTGTAAATTTTAACACTTGATACCAAACTCAGAGCCGATGCAATCGAATCATATAACCACAGATACCCAGCAGATCCGACATAGATAAATCTGTCCCCATTCTCAATATGAGACCCAAAGCAAGAAAAATCATCATTACTGCATAGAGACGACATCATCCAAAAGATATGAATCTTACCGAATATTTTCCTGTCAGATCCCGAAGGAAAACTTTCCATCCTTTCCCTCTGTAATCGCATACAGAATCGTTGGTAATCATTGACGGACACCCCAAAGATCAACCGGATCTTCCTAATCCTCTCTCTTGCTATAACAGCTACACCGAATCCTTTCCTTCGAACGGCAAAAACCAATCCCCCGTCATTCAATATTAACATATTAGAAATCGATAAACCATAGATCCATCTCCGATCAAGGAGAATACCGAAAGGCACCACTATAATCCTCAGAAGTTGAAACCCGATGTCGCCATCGCCGTCGTCGTTATCAATGCTAATGAGAAACGCTTGTTAAAAAACTGATATTGTAATGTTTATCAATGCTAATAATGTTTATTTTGATTTTAATATATATGAAGATGTTTACTTATTATGTATTGTCTATTGTATATTTATTTATTCTTTTATACAAAATTAGAAACAATAATGTTTATCTTATTCTCTAAAGTTAAGACATCTCATTTTATATTCGATGATCCTAGATTGCTTTTGTTACAATGACACAATAATGTGGTAAAGACTAAGCGAATATTATTAAAAGAATAATTACATTTTCTTGGGGGGAACTACGATTCAGTTAAATAAAAATAAGTTTATCCACAGCAAAGAAATGTCATTTTTAGAGATAAGAAAGTCGAATTTACCACCGCATCAGCCTCTTCATTATAGAATCTAGAAATATGATGGAAAGAGCAAGCATTAAAAAAAGCTGCTGAAATGGTCAATGTCAGAGAGAATGCCATTACCCTCCTTGATGAGTCCGTAGCTTGGAGCATTCATTTCTAACTAACACCTGCGAATTAGACAATATGGATTCTTTAAAATCAAAAAAAAAATAAGAACAATATTTTGTCATATACTTGTGCAATAAGTTGATCATGCTAATCGTTATCCCTAAAGTCTCAGTATGCCTATAGATTATATTAAATTTTGTATACATTTATATATAGTAAATGTAAAGATAAAGTTTTACAATAATACAATCACTACCAAAAAAAAAAAAACTTTTATTAGCGGCCAGAAAACGCTATCTATACGATAGCGGTTTATCAAGCGATGTATCATCACCCGTGATAGTTAGTCAGACACATTAGATAGCGGTTTTTGGTACTACTATCATATGGTGATATAGTATTGCATTTATTTGTATGTAATTAAATATACTTCAATAGCAATTCTTTTTTTGTTTAGTTAATTAATTTAAATAACAAAATTAATTAGAAATTAAACCGGTTCTATATTTATAATTTTGTTTATTATTTAAAATGATTGATAATCAAACTGGTTTAAGTACAAAATAATGAAAATTAGACCAACAACATAAACCTTAAAGCCAACAATGGACCAGAAAAAAAAAAAAACTAATCAACCCGGTTTAATCTAAACCGAAAAAGAAAACCTAAGAAACACCCCTATCCTCCGCATCCCCCTCCTATTTTCCCATGCTCCTCGTTAACCCCTCCCTCTGCCTCCTCATCCATCAACCTCCCCCCCCCATCAATGTAGGAGGGTGAATTATACCTACCCCTAAAGGCCCATGAGGAAATTGGATCCGGCCTAGAAACTACGCCTTATCCGGCCTAGAAATCAACTCCAAAATCCATCACGTTACGAGCGCCGCGCCCCAGATAGACAAGGTCCTCGCCACCGCGCTCCGAACACCTTTCACCCGTCGCATCACCGACGTACGACTGCGTATCACAGAGAAGATCCGACTACTAACGTTCGGCGGCAGCGACGACCCAACTGAACACACGACGGCATTCAACATCACGATGGGTCGAGCGAACTTCACAGACATCGAGAGAGATGCCGGTTTCTGTCAACGGTTCGTGGAAAGCCTCAACGGATCCGCCCGGAACTGGTTCTCTCGATTACCAGAGAACTCGATCGATAGCTTCCGTGACTTGTCGATGACTTTCCTCAAGCATTACATCATGTTCACAAATCAAAAGGCGAACGCCTCCGACTTGTGGAAACTCTCTCTACTTCATGGCCAAAGCCTGCGAGATTTCATGGAGAAATTCAAGAAAGTCGTCTCCAAAGTAGACGTACCAGATAACATCGCAGTGGACGCCCTAAAAAACACGCTGTACATCCACTCAAAGTTCCGTGAAGACCTTTACCGCAACCCCACGACATCACTCCAGGACGCTATCGCACGTTCCAACAATTTCATCCGGATGGAAGAGGATACCAAAGCGATGATAACCAAGCAGAACGTGAACAAGCCAGCGCCGAGTAAAACTGCTGACGCTAAGCAAGAGCTGAGGAAGCATTCGGCGGACGATAAGCAGACCAACAAGAAAAGCTTTGTTTACATGGTCGACGAAGATTCTCTTTCGGATTCCACGGTCGTCGTCCGCGCCAAAGGGTGGAACCATTATCAGCGCAAGGAGGGAGACGAACAGGACCAGCCTTCTTCCGAGAAACTGGACCCCGACGAAACGGGACCGTATTGCTCTTACCACAAGTCCAAAGCGCACGACTCCAAACACTGTAAGCAGCTTAAGGAAATCTTGTTCTGGAAATACGCACGAGGTGAAATCCCAACATATCCACCCAAACATCGCCCGAAAGGGAACAACAGCTGGAGTAAGAACAAAGATAAAAGATCTCAGAAGCCTTCCAGCAAGCCAAAGCAAGAAGAGGCCCAACCAACGGGCGAAAAGTCGGAGTCTCGCGTCCGCGACGATACACCGCCCGAAGAGGAGCAACCCAAGAACATGAAGAGGATTCAGGTTATCCTCGCTAATCCCGAATCGTCGTCCGACGAGGAACCAGAACCCAACCCAGAGACCTACGTACGCTTCTCATGGTGCGAAAGTCAGCTCGCGAACTCGACACTCCCCCTGACCTCCGAGAGAAGCTTGATCGCTCCAGAACTCGCCGTGTAGCGCCCAGCCAGGACATTACTGACCTACGCGCCAAGCTGAACTCCGCAAAAAAGGATCTCCGAGAAACGCTCAACCGATCAAGGGACTCCGACCTACGGCAACATTTAGACCAGGTTAAATCTATGACAGCGCCACATCAACCCCCGCGAGCGCATGCCAGATTGAACTTCATCATGGGCGGATCACCCCCATGCGAAGTTTCAGTCAGATCCGTCAAGGCCTATCAACGACAGGCGAGAACCTCCAAGCGTTGGACCTCCCGAGAGGTAGACGACCTGGCCATCACCTTCTCGGCCGAAGATGCTGTTGGGGTCTATATGCCTCACAACGACCCGCTATTGGTTGAAGTCGGCCGGGCTCGATCAACAACTATCGTCGAATTCTTGCAGGTCAATCCATCGACATTCGCTTGGGAAACGACTGACATGAAAAGGATCAACCCACCATCGCTTCCCACCAACTGAACGTCGACCCAACCTTCAAACCGATCAGACAAAAGAGATAGAAGCTCGGACCAGAGCTGTCAAAGGCGGTCAACGAAGAAGTCGAGCGATTACTCGCAGCTGGGCTTGATCACAGAAGTCCGATACCCCGAGTGGTAGCAAACCCAGTCGTCATTAAGAAGAAGAACGGCAAGTGGCGGGTCTGTGTAGATTTTACCGACTTAAACAATGCATGCCCGAAAGATAGCTTCCCACTCCCCCATATCGACCGGTTAGTCGAATCGACTGCCAAGAATGAACTGTTAACGTTCATGGATGCCTTCTTGGGCTATAACCAAATCACGATGCACCCCGACGACCGAGAGAAGACCACTTTCATCACAGACAGAGGAACCTACTGTTACAAAGTAATGCCTTTCAGGCTCAAAAACGCTGGAACAACTTACCAGCACCTGGTCAATAAAATGTTCGCAGACAAGCTTGGCCGAACAATGGAAGTTTATATTGACGACATGCTGGTCAAGTCACTCCGCGCAGCAGACCACCATAAGCATCTCGAGGCCTGCTTCAAAACACTAAACGAATACGGCATGAAGCTGAACCCGGCCAAATGCACGTTCGGCGTCACTTCTGGCAAGTTTCTCGGGTACATTGTAACACATGGAGGAATCGAAGCCAACCCGAAACAGATCTCGGCGATCATTGACCTCCCAAGCCCGAGAAACAGTCG